AACAAGTGAGTAGAGAAGATTAATTGCCCGTTTTTCCGTATTCCCGTTACTGCATAACTACACAGAAAGTCGTTACTTGTGTGTATATCGCCAATATGTAGCCACCATAACCTGCAGTGCAAGTGACAAACCACCTGCAATGCAGGTGATTGATATTTTGCAATGCATTCACCCAGCTGTAAAATCTTGCTAAGGAGTTTATACACCGCTTTAACTGCCAGAGGTATCATGAATATATCGGTCAGCGTTGCCGCTCATGTGGGAACTTCAGGAATTGGTGCGTGCACGATATATGAGCACATCCGAAACGTGATCTAGAACCTCAATTTTCATTTTTTTTCTGGAATTTTTGTCTTTTGGCGAACAACCCCCTGCACAGTGAAGTATTTGTCAGGTAAGACAAAAGAGAAAGCGCCACGAGTGAGATGATTCACTTTACTCTTTCCTTTCGACAGCCGGGAACAAGCTTTGATGCACAAATTAATGCACACACATTGAAATAATAAACAAAGTATCAAAAGACCACACTCAAACAACGTTGTTATTTGATGCGCGTGCTCATCAGAGCCGCAGCCAGTCGCACTTCGACTGCAGACACAAATCGGCGTTCTCATCCGTGGGCAAAAGTAAGGCACTTATGGATTGCATATAAAAATCCAAAAAAGGAAAAAAAAAGAACGTTACAATCAAGGCACTTGGAGATGATTGCTCTCCAACAAAAAGAGCGATTGAAAAACGCGGCCGTTCACACGCGTTGTACAAATAAACATCGTAAGGCGGACGCCTGTGCTATATAGTGGTCTCTGCTGTTATGGCCGTAAATATATCCACGTCATGTATTGCTAGCTTCAAGGCACTGGACACATTTCTCACTGTTCAGCAACAGAAGGCGGGCTCGTCCGCCATCGGACGGCGCATAATAAGGCACTTGCGGTGATGCTGGTCTTTAAAGGAAATAATGCAGGGTATAATGAACACTGAGCGTTGTATACACAGTTGCCGTAAACATAACGGTCCTAAATCATATTCAATCGTTTCAAACAGTGACTAAGCATGAGCGGCGTAAGCATCATGAGCAAAAGAGACAACTAAAGTACTTAACATACACTTCGCGCAGGGTCGCAGAGGTCAGGAAGCCACGGCGCGCGTACAGCGTCCGGCGAGTTTTTTGTGCGTAGGGTGAGCAGATTTCAATTTCCATAATCAAAAGTCAACCGGGCTACGGGTGTTGAGAAAGTGTCGAAAAAAGCACGTCCAACCAGACACAGATCACAATCACCGGAGCGACGCGTCCGTGTTGTGCAGAGGCAAACGGGGGCTCCAGTGACGCTTTCCATCGAGACGCAGCCAGATTAAGCGCTGAAGGGAGGATGAGTGACCTCCATTCTTTCGGACGTTTCCGAAGCTTTCGATCCTCACCGTTGCTCGCAACAAATATACGCTTCACCAAACTCGCATTAAATAAACACTGACAACACCGAGTAACGCCACAAAGATATTGCACAAGCCGGCCTACTAACGCGCTCACAATACGAGCGCTACCAGCAGAATTCTCGCGCGAATGCCATCAGATACCTGGGCATGCACCCGGCGTGGGAATCGCCTCTCGCGCCAGCGGGGCTGCGCACAAGCTAAACACAGATATAAATATAGTGTGTACACGTCGGCTTCTGCTATTGCAACAACGAAAAAGAAAGGTCGTCACGTCTAAAAATATAGGTCGCATCTGATGAGATTGATGTAAGAGGTAAGGCACGTCGTGAATGAATGTCCAAGTGAATTCGCTCCTAAGGGCCGCAGGAATGCTCGTAATGAACGTGCGCGATGATATAGGCGCAAGGCACTGTCGCGCTGCTTCTCGCCCGGAGCAGGCGCGAGTAATGTTATCACCGAGTTTATGTACAACGTCGTCTTGAAGATACGCGTGACACGTGATTTGTGCAGGCTTGTCACCGAAAACGCAACTCCTTATCAAGGGGGACTGTGTAGTCCGTTACGCCGAACAATTTGCTATTAGAGACTGGGTTTTATGAAATGGAGCTTGAAACACGAATATACGGTGGCAATATGTAAATCTAAGCCCCTTATCTGTGTTAAGGTCCCCGTGGTCCTCTTGTGACATGCCGAAAGCAAAGCGCTGTGGTCACCCCACATGTTTGAAACTTTGGTAGCCGGCATTCCCGCCAGCATCCCTTATCCCCTTAAACTCACGTGCAGTGGGATTTCTTGTTAGAGCGATTCTATTCACACCCGAAGAAACTCCGAACATTAGAACTTTGTGGACTGTTTTACGTCGTCTAAGGCATTTTATCATCTTTTTTGTGGGGCCTGCAAACAACGAGAGAACTTCTCTCCAGAAAAAAAAAAACAAAAACAAAAAACGTTAACGTACGTGCAGACTCAGACATTTAGGGAGAGGAACGCACATACTAGTGTCATGGTCTACGCATCCAACTTAATTGTCTTCTGATGTGAGTCCCCACTCTACCAACTAGTTGGATACAATTCCACTCTAAAGAACGATACTTCGCCATCTCTCTTAATTGATCAACTTGATCTGCACAAAACAAGTATTCACGTTGGTACTGAACAATTGATAGCGGCAGTGGCTGACGCCTTCAGAGATACATAAACAAAAGAGAAAAAGCTGTGTACGGCACGTTAAGTTGGTGTTGACTGTGCGTTACGGTCAAGCTCACTTTGTTTTCAGCGCTGTAAAAGAAGCTGTGAACGGTGGGTCCACACAACGTGACAACACCGGATTGCAATTCTTGGCGTGTTGAAACGTCTGCTTGCAAGTCCAGACATCGTACATTGTCGAAAGCAGGTGGTATTTGTATATAACCTAATCTCTCCATGCTGTTCAGCAATCTTCCGGGAAAAGAGAGTGCCAGCACATGAACACGTGAATGTGTGTTGGCTTTGTCTAATTTTAAGCGGAAATTTAGAAAAGAAACCAGCAGAAGATATTAACGTTAAAGAGCATTTTTCCCCCTCTAAAAATAACCGAATGATCATGGCTGCTGCGAATATATTGAATGGAAATAAAAAGTAAAGGTAGCGTAAGTCACTTATTTCATTCATTATGTGCTGCTAAAGAAGGGCAGTTTCAGTGTTGTTCTCCGGGAGTACTTAATAAACAATCAATAAATAGATATGAGTAATGGAAAATTTAAGAACGAAGTACTGAGGCCTTTAAATACTATAATCGTATGAATAGAAATAAATACACTTAAGCATATTGCATGGTTGGTTGGTGCATGATTTCATGCCATTTGGTTTTTAAATGTGTGGTACAAGAATGAATTCCTTCAGAAATATTATTCAAATGATTCAGCGACACTTTTTCTCCAAACATATCTAGCAACCCAGGGAAAAGACGCCAAAGGCAACTATTAAGTCGATGGTTATTGCTAAAATAGCAGTCCAGAAACCTCGTAGTGTTATTGTTGTGCCAAGGAAGGTCTTATTTTGAAATAAAATCGCATTTTAGTTGTCCGCATTGGGTTAGCGCACTTCACATTTTCCGGCTCAAGAAGCGGGCCGATTCACGTCACTTTTGCGGTGCACAACGTTGCCCGGCTTTATGTGCGGCTGCCGACACTAGCAGCAACAGAACTAAACCAGCGGGAGGCACAGCAGCAACAACGGCCATTGATCAATTGTTTTGCCATTGGCTCCGAGATGGTAGGCGTGTTTTAGTTCAACTTCGCCCCGTTGGATGGCACGACCTGTCCTGTTTAACCACGCGAAAATTAAATTTTAGGACTACTCACGCCATTCCACATAGTAACCTCCGGTGGTTCTTTTTTCCTTGAATCAAACAGAAACGAACAAGTAGCATATTATTGCGTCTCTTGATGCATGGAAGGTTCATTATTTAGTGCAGCTAGATCAATTACTAGTGATTAATTTTAGGCGGTTTCTCTGACGTCATCGGAATCATTTTGAGAATTTACTACTGCGGCGCATGTATTCTTGAACAGTTACCTTAATTTCTCGGTAAGTGGGGCACTGTTCTTGATATTATTGTCGTTTTAGATGTTGTCATACATTGAGCTTTTACTCTGACTTAAATTGTTATTGGACTTTAGTGTCCCTCTAACCTATGATACTTCCAAATCTGCAAATATTTTTGACACCACTACAAAAAAAAAGAAAATGAAAACGGCATGAATATGTTGGAACATTTCTACATTCGTCATGTTTCTGTAAAAAATAGCAAAATAAAAAACATTACGGCATGAATTCATACACCAGCACAATATCATCGCAATGATTGGTGAACATTCAAAAACCACTGAGTAAATACGATACTAATAATGACTACTGCAAAAGGATGTTATCTAACTAAATATGTATTCTCTGTATAAGCATCCTTCATGAACCTTAGCAAGTCGAGACATCATTGTGCATGACTCATTAAATTAGAGAGGCAGACAACAATGCTGACCTGCTGGGCACACGTCGTAGACTAGCGCTACACTCTTGTGATCAGCTGAAAAAGTTGACCTCACCTGCATAGTAATTCGTGCAAAGGCACCCTCGATGTGTTAGGTATTTGAATGGAAGGAAAGAGAAGGAGAGAACAAAGGGTAATTGTTGTGGCGTGAATGAATGCTCGCGTACCATACTATACGTTGGCAAAGAGCGACCGTAGTCCACTCTTTTATGGCTAACGCAATGATGATTCAAATCCGTCTCTTGGAACACCCAGGAGAACAGTGTTGAGGCTACACTTTTGACGTCTCACTTGAATAACACGTGCACAAAAAATGGACGGACGTTGATAAGGGCCTCGGCAGGACGAACATTGCCATCACTGCCATAGTGACCATAGAAAGAACCGGTGTTACAGATGAGCCACAAGGCACTGGCCACCCGAACAAAAAAAAAAAAAAGAGTCAGCGCCACGACACGAATGGCTGCCAAGAAGGGAGTGACAACATCACTGGGGGAAAGCGCTTGTCAAGTCCAGCGTCGGCGCCATCTGGCGTAACTCAGACTTCGGTTTCCGTATTGGACGCCGGCGGGGTCGGAGCCGCGGCACGGACCCTCATGCATGATGACTCTTCGTGCTTGTAAAGATAACTCTTGAGCGCGAACGCCTTCCCGCAGCGAGGACACACGAACGGCTTCGTAGGCGAGTGGGTCTGGACGTGGGCGCGAAGGTTGGACTTGTCTGCGAACGCCTTAGGGCACTGGGAGCACTTGAATGGCTTTTCTCCGGTGTGCGTGCGGATGTGACCCTGCAGCAGCCAGGGTCGAGAAAAGCACTTGCCGCAGAAGGGGCACTGGCAGCCCTGGCCGTGCGTCCGCACGTGCATCGAGAAGGCCGGCATGGACACGTACACCTTGGAACAGTGCGGGCACTGGCGCGCCTTTTTGTCTGTCACGCTGCGGTGTGTCTGCCGGTGTCGGGCCAGGTTGCTCGAGGTGCTGTACCGTTTGCCGCACTCGGGGCACGCGTAATATGGTTCACCGGCTCCGCTTCCCGAGAGTCGTGAGGTGCCGCCAGGCTCCTGCGACAGAAAGCAGACGTTGTCAGCGCTGCTATAATAACCGAGTTCAATTCGCTGGTCACACCACTCACTCTTCCGGCTTGTTATAGTTGTAGCTGTGTCTATTCAAATCCAATTCAAGGTGACCTGATCAATTTATTTGGCGTCATTTTAGGCGCTCGTCCCTAAGCGCTGAACTTACTAGATTGTTTCAGTTTCTTACCCTTCGTCGACAAGCTTGTGTTTGGTCTGGTTTTGTGGTGAGATTACTAATTTTGAAGCTAAATGACCGAATTTGCTTTGCATTTGGAGAATGAGGGTATGATTCACGACATAACTTGTCTTATGTTTGGCTGGAGACCACACGTGTTATCTATCACTTATGATAACGGCAGGTTTCATTTTATCTGAAAGGCTCAGTTAGTTCATCATATACGCTTTTCTTATTGATTCTCGCAAGAAACTTCAAGTGACATATTTTTCGATCGCACTGAATACACATATATGTCTTGTGACGTGTGTCGCAAAGCATAAGTTCGCCATTCAGGATTCGGTGGTTTCGTTATTGTATGATAAAAAGCGACTTCTAATGGTCTGTGTGGATTACAGTTTCATCGAATATTGAGAAAAATTTTGTTGTCAAGCTTATACATGCAGCAGATACTAAATATTGAGGAAAATAATTGGATACGAACACAATGGGTGATGAGGCCACTTTCATGTTGTTGACTGTCTTTCATTTGCATTGAGTTTTTTTGTTATTCTTTCGTTTCGATAGTGCTTTAATTCAAGCAATTGTGGCATTCTCTCCCACCTTCCGAAAGGGCCAGTTTTTACACACACACACACACACACACACACACACACACACACACACACACACACACACACACACACACACGCACGCACGCACACACACACGCACACACACACACACACACACACACGCACAGGCACGCACGCACGCACACGCACACACACATGGACGCACGCCCAAAAGATTTGTGCACATGCACCTGCAATGCTTCACTGCATAGTCTCAAGAAACCTACTCACTCCTACTCAAGAAACCTACTCAATAACCTCGGCAACTTTCCGGGAATAAAAATTAACTAGACATGTGCCAAGGCTATGTCGCATTCGTTACGTCAGCAGGATGACTTAAGTGGTTAAATGTGCATTACCGTAATTTTTTGAACAAGTGATTATGATTTTCAAGGTGTACATAAGAGCTGTCATGGAACCCAGGAATGTGTTCGCAGTAAGGAGACTTGGCGCGTCGTAAGAGAATGTCAGGCAAGTCACGTTATGAAACACTGCATACACGTTCTCTGTTTCGGTTACGAGGTTCTTCCTTTCCAGTTACATACTGGTGGCCCTTGCGATCGGTGGCTTAATTTCCTAGAGATGAGCACGTGAGCTGTAAACTTTCGTATGCGGGATGAGCTATAAAATAGAATTTCACAACATTTCCTAGTCAGGTCAATCTCAGTGAAATCTCTCAGAACGTGGTTTCAGGAGAGTATTTTATTTATAATACGCGTATAGTGCGTGATCGCAGCAAACAGGTATTATAATTGCTTTCCACGCGGGCGAGATGTCTCACCTGAAGAGTTCGGACTTGCTGCAGTACTGCGGCGAGTATGCTCGCCGAAGCGGCAGCAGACGAGAGTTGTGGTTGCGCATCATGCACCGTCAAGCTGAGCGGCTCTTCGGATGCGGTAGGTGTGGCAGTCCGCGAGAGGCTGGCAGGAGACGTCGGGCTGGCCGGTTTCCAAGAGGACCAGCAGCCCTGGACTGTCACCTCCGGGACGCGCGATGATGGTTCCGCCTCGTGATCGGCAGGTGCCTCCGCGGTGCTCACACAGCGCTCGGGACTGTTCTCTGCGAATGCGAGGACGATGTCGGCTGGTCAGCGGTGGCTCGTCGATTTCGAGCCAAACAGTGCGTCATCACAAACCAGACCTGTGTTTAAATTGTTCACTCGGACTATATAAAGCTGTAGGAAAATGAAAGCCCTCTGATCACACCTACCGCCCAGACCTCACAGTGAAAAAAAATGCCAGGCCTGCGCGGAAGGCGGCCCCGCCGCGGTGGCCTAGTGGCTGAGGTACTCGGTTGCTGACCCGCAGGTCGTGGGATCGAATCCCGGCTGCGGCGGCTACATTTCCGATGGAGGCGGAAATGTTGTAGGCTCGTGTGCTCAGATTTGTATGCACGTTAAGAACCCCAGGTGGTCGAAGTCTTCGGAGCCCTCCACTACGACGTCTCTCATAATGATATGGTGGTTATGGGACGTTAAACCCTACATATCAATCAATCAATGCGCGGAAGGCGCAGCTCATCAAAGCGAAAGCTAGAAGAGCGGAGTTTCGAAGCATTTTCTGTTTGTATGTTTGTCCCTTTTATCCTGGCACAAACCACTATGGGGGATCGGCCATGAAACGAACGGTGACTTGCTATTTAAAATGAAATGTTAATAATTTCGAAATGTTAAGTTTTTATTGAATATTCTTGATTTTGATAATTTCTCACGATGAATTTCTCACGTTTTCTTGGCATGAAACATTGGGTAACTGCTGCAAGCCCACTTGCCTGGTGCCCACTGCGGTGTTAATATTACAAATTTTGGGGTAGTAGGCCAGCTTCCGCTATGCTATATTTCGCCATTCTTCTGAGAAGCGTGGTATCCGCTAAACTATTGCGAGGAGTTTTGTGCCGATTGTTCATGCAGTGACTGACGACAATGAGGAATTGTGCCTGAAGTGGGTATGCGACACAGTTAATAGCTGAACAAGGACAAGCTTTTGTATTGGGTTCGAGCATTGAACGACCCACTCGTTACGCTATTCGCATTGTGCGAAGTCTGCTTGTTATTTCGATGTTTTAAAACGCTTAATAAATCATAATAAATCGGTTGCTTTCCAGGCATCAAGCCTGCATAAAGCAAGTTTGCCAACAAGTCCCAAGCACAGTCGTAGCTCAGTAGAAGATTAGGTATTGTGTGAGCAGCGCTTGATGAAGTACCATATGATGTTTTTCCTCATGGCTATGCACAGCTTGTGGAAGACACGAATGCAAGACCGCAATGCAGAGCCCACCACCTCTTCAAGCGCACACTTCATTCAAATGGCTATCTACATCAAAAACATTTACGACGAGCTAGACTTTAGACCGGACTGGTACTCCACCTTATAGAACTGTTTGACCTCACCCCTTTTTTGTTTGTATAACACGATGTGAAGAACTCTCCATGTGAGGAACTCACGCTGTGTTAGCCATTTAGTGTTTATGAGTAACGCTTGAGCGCTTATTTTCGCGATTTTATTATACTTTTGTTTGCTTTATTTTGTCTTTATAGCGCAAATACTTTAATTAATACCATGAAAAAAAAAAAACAGTCGTAGCTCAGTGGTATAATACTGGGCTGGCACACACTGGACCCGAGTTCGAGCCGAACTGTGTCAATAATACTAGGTTTTTCTTTTTTTTTTCATTTCGTGCGATGTGGTTGCGGACACCGGCGGTGCCGGCGGCGGCGGACAACTACGGCGCTGCACGAGACCCGAGATGATCCCATAACATCTTTCGCTGTAAAACCAAAATACAGAGCTATAGAGGGGAAGGTAAAAGGTAAAACGTATAGGTTAACTAGAAGACATCTCCAGTCAGGCAAAATGCAGAGGCCTTCGCCACAATATCTTAAGGTTGGGTATATATATGGATGTGCTATACGAGAAGGATGCTGCACTATGGCGAAGAAGCCAGCCAGGACCGGCAAAAAGAAAGCTATAAAAAAAAAACTGTGGCCCCGGCTAGAATGATGCGATTGCTGACGATCAGCTTTGCGTACCACTTGTGGGCATCATACATGTTATTTAAAAATATGTACACATGTTGTCCATCTGCTAGTGCAACGGGCCACACGGCGGTGTGGCAGGTCTATCACTACGCCATGTAACCGATACGACATTTAGTGATCACATTAAAACACCCGATACACCATCCAACACGTGGCACGAAGTGGATCCCACGCCAACACTCGCAGCGTAGTGTGCTTGCATTTGATTCAAATATTGGGGTTTAACGTCCCAAAATGGCTATATGATTATGAGAGACGCCGTAGCGGAGGGCTCCGGAAATTTCGACCACCTGAAGTTCTTTAACGTGCACCCAAATCTGAGCACACGGGCCTACAACTTTCCAGCCTCCATCGGAAATGCAGCCGCCACAGCCGGGATTCGATCCCACGACCTGCGGGTAAGCAGCCGAGTACCTAAGCCACTAGACCACCGTGGCGGTGCAGTGTGATTGCGTTTATATAATTTACTTGTTATCAGTCAACGTCTACAGAGAGCACTGTCAAACACCTTATTTCAATAACTGCCAGCTTTCCCCCGACCGAAACGTTCAAAATAAACTTTCAAACTATCTCCCGAAAGTACATTGCAGAAGCGGGTATATTAGGAATTTAAAGGCGCACTGACACCAATTTTCGTAGCTGAGTTTACCCTGTTATACATATACACCTAATAAACAGACGGCTACGAGCAAGTGTAAAGCTGAGTAAATATTGATAAGATGTTTTATCATGCATGGTATTGCCGATTTTCGCATGGCGCAGCTCCTGACTCCAACACTAGCACGACGTATGGCTACAGTATCAATTTTCGTGACTTCACGCATTAGTACGACTACTTCGGATGGCGTCAGGTTTCAAAATATTCAATATGACCATTTGCGCGCCGCCACGGAGTCGAGCGGCCGGGGAAACATCACAATATCATGCGCGAGCCCGTGGCGAGAAGCTCATGATGAGTCGAGACGTCAGGATACAGTGGGAGCCGAAACTAGCTTTTAAACCCGTATTGTAATTAAGTTTTCAAGGTGTACTCATTACGTTTTCTTGGCTCTTGAAGACTTGGTCGCCCCGCCGCGGTGGTCTAGTGGCTAAGGTACTCGGCTGCTGACCCGAAGGTCGCGGGTTCAAATCCCGGCTGCGGCGGCTGCATTTCCGATGGAGGCGGAAATGTTGAAGGCCCGTGTGCTCAGATTTGGGCGCACGTTAAAGAACCCCAGGTGGTCGAAATTTCCGGAGCCCTCCACTACGGCGTCTCTCATAATCATATAGCGGTTTTGGGACGTTAAACCCCACATATCAATCAATCAATCAATCAATCAATCAATCAATCAATCAATCAATCAATCAATCAATCAATCAATCAATCAATCAACACTTGGCTTCTCACTTGACGCAAAAAAAATCGGCAGATTCCACGTACCCGGGAATCGACATTATGTGAAGCATGCGCAATTTGTGACCATGTTGCAATTTTTTTTATTGAGTGACACGTCATGAAATGACGCTAAATATATGTACAAATGTGTCACACACAGACATATGTTGAAGAGTTGCAGATGTTTACATAACCAGTTGTTTGCACTTGCGCAACGATGTCAACTGGAACATGCGTATTTTAGCGACACCAGAAGCTGATATGAAGCGCTGATGCTCGCGAAGACTGGTCCTGGACACTGCTACATAGATCAACATTAATGCGTGGCACCTAACCACAATTGACGTTAACCCGACGTGACGGCTCTATCAAAAAAGTACATATGTGTGAAGAGTATTTCAGTACTCCACCCTGTATCGGCCTTTGGCTAACAGTATAAATAAATAAATAAATAAATAAATAAATAAATAAATAAATAATAAATAAATAAATAAAAGATATACCATATTTATAAAATTGTGTAACCAGTACTGCAACCACTATTGACATTTCACGAAGATTAGCGTCTATTTGAAAAGTAGTTCCGAGACCTGGCGTAGATCTGTGCTGAAATGCTTCATTGCCTCGCAGAATGCTTGGGTTCAATTCCTGCTGGGACTCTGAAATTTATTATTTCCATTCGTTGGGGGTTCAACGCTGCCTATGTCAGGTTTATCTTAATACTGACATTTATTCTACGCCTTCGTTGGGACGACGCTACCGATGTCGGGTATTGTGTAACGCTCACGCGTTAAAATTGCCCATGTGTGTTCTCGTCATTCCTGGGTAGATACCAAGTGTAATCACATGTGGCACATGCCCGCATACAAGCGGCACATACCCACCCGTTGGTATGTGGCTGCAAGTGTTTGACGAAGTACGCGGTGGGATTGTGACATTATTCATGTCTTGACCAGCGCGTCATATTAGTCAAACCATCTTACTCTCCCATGCTAATTCTTGTTCACGCCAAGTTAAGAGGGTGACCACCAGAATACCCAAACATAAGTGGTCAGATAGATAGATACGCTCAAAGTCACCGAAGTTCGCTAAAAAATGCTTTGCATTTAGAAAGCAACAATCGGCATTTTTTTGTGTGTCAGAACCCCTTTCTGTGAAGTAGCCAAGGCTGGCATTCGTTGTACAGCCAGCATAGTGAAAACTTGCTCTTTTCGAGCTAGTCATTTCTGGAGCCTGTGAAAAAAAAAAAGTTGTGGGCCTTCGCTTCACGTGAACACTTACTAGTAAACCAGCCGATTCCGAATTTCACAGTTCACGTTAACGCCGGTTTCTTCAGGGGTTCCATGATTCTTTTTTTTTGTGTGTGTGTGCGTGTCGCGCTAATAATATATGCTGTAGTTGTGAAATACCAACTCACCCGAACAGCAACCCCTATGAACTTAACTACAAATTCTCATTTTGTGAGGTGCTGCGCACTTATGACTGATCAAAAGGAGGTAGACTTCTGTACATCGAAATGGTTGGTCGGGTGGTATGCCTCTTAGCATCCACTCGCTCCGTATGGGGCATGATCTTCGTCCGTGAAGCACGAGCAGAAGCCGTATGCGCCCAGCTTCCCAGATTACGGACCCTTGAATCACACGAGCG